GGCGACAGCAGGTGGGTCGCAGCGGATCCTGCAGGGACCGGCTCAGGCCTGAGAGCAGGAGAAGGCGCGGGTGTCTGGGAACAGCGGCGCCGGGGAGCTGGCTCCTGCTGCAGCGACAGTAGCAGGGCGTGTTGGGGCGCCGGAAGGATCGCGGGGCTTCCTCCCCAGGCCTGGACCCAGGGCACCCCTGGCCTCCTAGCCTGGTGTGCTGATACCCCAGCAGGGAGTGTCCGTCTCTATCCGAGGCCAGGTTTCCGCCTGGGCCACGTCTCTGGCGGCACAGCTGCTCCTGTTCCGGGTCCTGAAGGCCTGGCCCAGCTCCCTGAAGCCTCGGGTTTCACCTGGCTCTGGGATCCCAGGCCACTAAGCTCTTCTCCAGCCTCTGCTCCCCTGAGGCTGTACCTTCCTGGTTCTCAGGACAACCCAACAGGTGCCCCAGGTCCGGCTCCCCCAGGCCTCCTCCAGGTCCAGGGAGGCAGACGGGACCCCTGCTTCCTTGTGACCACCTGCCCACGGGCCTGCCCCTGCCCATGCCCCATTCCAGCCCCAGCAGGCCCACAGCTGGGGTGCTGATCCCCCAGGGTGGGGATGGGCGGACACAGCGCTGGCTAGGACCTGGCTGGCCAGCCTGTCATTCCCCTCTGGCCCCAGCAGGCTCTAGCAACCAGCCTGGTGCTTGTCTGATCTGCCACCATGGCTCGGGGACTGCCCAGCGCCGCCACCATGGCCCACTTCTTCAAGAAGCTGAACCGACTGAAGCCCCTGGATGACTCCACCATGGAGACGTCCCTGCGCCGCTCCCTGTCCACGCTGGACCTGACCCTGCTGGGCGTGGGCGGCATGGTGGGCTCCGGCCTGTACGTGCTCACGGGCCCTGTGGCCAAGTACATGGCCGGCCCCGCTGTGCTCTTGTCCTTCGCGGTGGCCGCTGTGGCCTCCCTGCTGGCGGCCCTGTGCTATGCGGAATTCGGGGCACGAGTGCCCCGCACGGGCTCTGCCTACCTGTTCACCTACGTGTCCATGGGCGAGCTGTGGGCCTTCCTCATTGGCTGGAACGTGCTCCTGGAATACCTCATCGGTGGCGCTGCAGTGGCACGTGCCTGGAGTGGTTACCTGGACGCCATCTTTAGCCACAGCATCCGCAACTTCACGGAGGCCCGGGTGGGCGTCTGGCACGTGCCCTTCCTGGCCCAGTACCCAGACTTCCTGGCTGCTGGCATCCTTCTTCTGTGGAGCCCGCGTCTCCTCCTGGCTCAACCACACCTTCTCTGCCATCAGCCTGGTCGTCATCCTCTTCATCATCATCCTGGGCTTCGTCCTGGCCCGCCCCCACAACTGGAGCGCCGAGGAGGGTGGCTTTGCGCCCTTTGGCTTCTCTGGCGTCTTTGCGGGCACCGCCATCTGCATCTATGCCTTCCTGGGCTTCGAAGTCATCGCGGCCTCCAGCGAGGAGGCACAGAACCCGCGGCGAGCGGTACCTCTGGCCATTGCCATCTCGCTTAGCCTGGTAGCGGCTGCCTACATCCTGGTGTCCACCGTCCTGACCCTCATGGTGCCCTGGCACAGCCTGGACCCCGACTCGGCGCTCGCGGACGCCTTCTACCGCCGGGGCTACAGCTGGGCCGGCTTCATCGTGGCGGTTGGCTCTATCTGCGGTAAGGGGCCCTTCTGGGTGGGGTGGCAGGGACCAGGGTGGGGAGATCCTGCCTGAGCCTCCCGGGGAATGCACCTCCGTCTGGACCTCACTTTGACCAGTTGCATTAGGGACCCA